TGGATCAGTATTTATCCCTAGCATAGGAATGGACTTTGGGAGCCCATTCCACATAGAGGGATACTCCCTGAGCCTAGACACATGGGGTGGGCCTAGGCCCTATCCCAAAGGATATGGCACACTCTGAAGACCCCCTATAGAAGGCCTCACCCTCCCTGGGGAGCAGAAAGTATATGGGATAGGTAGGGTGTTAGTTGGGGTGGGTGGGGAGGAGGGGAGGGAGAGGGAACTGCATTTGTCATGTAAAACAGTCTTGTTTCTAATTCAAATAAAAATGGAGGAAATAAATGAATAAACATTTTATTCACAAAAAAAAGATGTAGAACTCTTGGATTCTTTCCCAGAACCATGACTGACTGCGTGCTGCCAGGTCCAGCCAGGATGATAATGTCCTAAACCTCTGGAACTGTAAGCTACCCAAATTAAATGTTTTCCTTTGTAAGGGTTGCCATGGTCATGGTGTCTCTTTACAGCAATAGAAACCCAAACTAAGACAGAAGTTGGTACCGGGAATGGGGTATTGTTGTGCTAAGCCTGACCTTGCTTTGGTTTGAAGGAATATGGATCTTGGGATTGTGGATTGGAAAAGCAGTGGGATGCTTTCAGTGCTGCTTAATGGGCCATTCTAGTAGGAACATGGAAGACAGTGGTGCTGAGTATGATTTGATGAACTGTGGGGCCTGGTTCAAGAGGTTTCAGAGGAGAAGAATTTTAGTATGTTGCCTAGAGACTGTTCTTGTGGTATTTTGGTGAAGAACCTGGCTGCTTTTTGCCCTTGTCCAAAAAGTCTGCCTGAAGCTAAAGTGAAGAGTTTTAAATTAATTCCATTAGCAGAAGAAATCTCAAAACAGTTTAGTAATGACTCTGTTGTGTGGTTATTAATGTTAACTCTAATGAAGATTTATAATGAAAAAGAGCAAGCTGAATAAGTAAAAATTCAAAATGTACAAATTGTGGAGAAAGGGGGCACCAGAAAGTGGAATGGAGATAAATCCTGTATTCAAGGAGATAAACAGATTAAGAAAATAAATGAAAGGAGTGGTGACCTCAGGGCAAGATCCTACCCAATGAAGTTTCCAACTTGTGAAAAGGAATTAAAGAAAAGCTTAGAGTCAGGTGTGGTAGTGTATGCCTCTAATCCCAGCAGAGGCTTGTAGATCTCTGAGTTTGAGGCCAGCCTGGTCTTCAGAGCAAGCTCAAAAAAAAAAAAAAAAAGCTTAGGCAGTGAAGAAAACCATCAAAAACAGAAAGCTGGTGAAGATATAATTGAAAGGTCTCTGAGTTCAAGCCCAGCCTGGTCTACAGAGAAAGTTCCAGGATAGCCAAGCTTAGGCAGTGAAGGAAACCATGGAAGACAGAAGTCTGGTGAAGGTGTAATTAAACAAGGGGGCCAGGTTTGGCCATGTGGTTCTGACTTTACAGTCAAGGAGTGACTAATGAAAGCAGCTGAGGCCAGACATATGTCAGGGTTACCCTTGAATGGAGGCCTAGAGAGGCCCTTGTGTGAAACTGTGAAGTTGAAGCCTGGATTGCCTTGGATACCAAAAAATGTTAGAGATGCAAGAGTCATGAGATAGCTTCAGAGAAGAGGAAAGCTGCTAACAGTGCAACCAGCCCAAGAGAATGAAGTGTGTTACAGCCAACAAAGTTGAAAGAAGTTGGAGCTCTGAAGAGTGTTTGGTATCAAACATAGAGTTGCAGTTGGGGGTTTGTCCAGCTGGTTTTCAGTCTTGACTCGGTCTAGTATTTCCTCACTGTGCTCCCTTCATACATTTTGCAATGGTAATGTATTTTCTTCTGTGCCAGTACATGTTGGAAGTATATGATATGCTTTTTAATTTTGATTTTAGAGGGGATTACAATTCAGAGGTTGCATGAATCTCAGAAGAGACTTTGAACTTTAGACTTTTAATTAAGTTTGAGACTGTTACAGACTATGGGGACTTTTGAAGTTGGACTTAATGCAATCTTTGCATTATGATATGGCTATAAGCCTTTTGGGGCCAGGGGTTGAATGTGGTGGTTTGAAAGAAAATGGCCCCCTCAGAGAGTGGCACTATTAGGAGATGTGGCTTTGTTGAAGTAGGTATGGTCTTGGACGAAGTGTGTCGCTGTGGGGTGGACTTTGAGTTCTCCTATGCTCAAGTCATGCCCAATGACACAGTTCACTTCCTGTTGCCTGCAGATCAAGATGTAGAAATCTCAGCTTCTCCAGCACCGTGTCCACCTGCATGTCACTATGTCCCGACATGACAATAATGGACTGAACCTCTGAAACTACAAGCCAGTCCTGATTAAATGTTTTCCTTTGTAAGAGTTGTTGTGGTCATGGTGTCTCTTCACAGCAATGAAACCCTAAGACATCATTGATAAAGATAATGCGGGGTGAATTCTGACTGTTTTGAGTTGATAGAAAACCTAAGACACCATTGATAAAGTTAATGCTGGGTGAGTTCTGTTTTGAGTTGTTTGCTCCAATGTTAAGCAGAGGCTGTCAGTCTTCTTTTTATATTATATGTAGGTAATAGTAATGGTTTCTCTGTGAGGATTTAGCAGTATCCAGCACCACTTTGATACTTATGCTAATGTCAAAGCTGGGGGTGGCAGCAATAAGAGGGAAAGTTTGAGAACAGTCGGTGCTGCATCTTGAGGTTTGCTTTAAAAATTTTAAGTCCCTTCTTATCCAAATTCTCTTTCCAGATTACATTCATAGCTGCATGTTTGTGTAAGTGCATGTGCAGGTCAGATGACAACCTTGGTTGGGTGTCATTTCTCAGGTGCTTGGCCTGGAACACCAGTGAGCCCCAGGAGTCCTTCATCTCTGCTTTCCTAGCACTGTGATTATAAGCACACAAAACCATATTTGGCTTAAATAAAGTGAGCTCTAGGGACTGCACTTGAGTCCTCATGCTTGCAAGGCAGGCAGGCACTTTACAGAGAGTGATCTTTAAAAAGACGGTGTATGGGTGTTCTGCCTGCAGGGAACTATATGTAACATGTGCATCTTGGTATACTTGGAGGCCAGAAGTGGGCACTCAGTCTCCTGGAACTAGAGTGACAGATGATTGTGAGCCTCTGGGGTGGAAGTTACTGGGAATCCAACCCCAGTCCTTAGGTCTTAACCATTGAGCCATCTCTCCAGTCCTTCCTAGCTATCTTGCATATACTCACGCAATCCCAACTGTTTTGACCACTCAGTTTAGAGTTTATTAGTATCATCTTTAATATAATTTATAAATGCTTGAAATGTCTTTTTAAATGGAGTATTCTCTTTAACGTTAAAATATTTGTCCTTTATCAAGCGCTAAACGCATGGGAAATATGTATAAATACTCCCTATTTTGGTTGGATTATACTGGTTACAAGAAACACAGGCTACAACTTCCTTAAGTAACATGGAATATTACAGAAAAGGAATCTGGACAAATAGGATCTGTAGCAGAATTAGACTGTAGCATATTTTATATTTCACTATGCTAGGATAGAGCCCAGATTCAGTGGTACTCAGGTTTCTCTATTTGTTTCTATAGAAGGGCATTTGAGAGCAGAAAAGTGTCTAACTGTGGTCAAATTTGATGAACAATTATGCAAAAACCTAAGAGCAAACGAGCATTTTAACCTTCCAAGGGTTGTCCGTTAGGAGCATCGGGGAGATGTCTACTTTTTTTTTTCGAGACAGGGTTTCTTTGTGTAGCTTTGGAGCCTGTCCTGGCACTGGCTCTGGAGACCAGGCTGACCTCGAACTCACAGAGATCTGCCTGCCTTTGCCAACTGAGTGCTGGGAGTAAAGGCATGCACCACCATCGCCCAGCGAGATGTCTACCTTTAGAAGAGCCGTTATATTTGTGGTGCCAGGTAGTCTCACCTCATTTCAACTCTATTTTTCCCATTTCAACATTTTTCTATTTTAAATCAAGCTTACTAAAGCATCATTTATGAATTAAAAATGGTTTGCTAGCATAGTTTTGGCAGATACATTGTATACCCACATCATCATAATCAAGAAACTCCTACTTTCTAGTCAACAAATGCTTTCTCTCTATGGTCTTTGTCTTTTCAACAATGTCATACATATGGACTTACCTATATTTTATGGTCTTAAGTCTTTCAATGAGAATGGTACCTAGTCATTTTGTGCACTCTGTTTCCAAGTAGTTTCCACTTAGCACATGTACCAACATCTGTTTATATATTTATTAACTACAGGGTACTTAGAGTGTCTAATTTTAAGTTGCATTATTTTTGTATATGTGTATACCTGTTTGGGTTGATATCTGGGTCATAATGTAAGTGTATTAACTTCATAAGTAAATGAACTCTCAAGCCATTTCTCCAATTGTTTGTTCAGTTCTGCATTTCTACTAATTAGTGTTTTGGCTTCTGTCCATTAATGGTATTTAGACTAAAACTAAAATTAACCAAGTAGATTTTCAGTGAGGGGTATGTATGTGTGAATTTATGCACATATGTGCTCAAACACATGTAGAGGCCACAGATCTACTTCTGGCATCTTCCTGGATTGCCCTTCACTGATTGGTCAGGTTGGCTGGTCAATGAGCCCTAGGGATCTGCCTGTCACAGATGCCAGCCCCGGGGTCCCAGAAGCACATCAACATAGCTGTACTTTATCTAGTGCTAGATAGCTTTTTACAGGAGTGCTCATATTTGCATGGCAAGCAAATAATAAACGAGCCATCTCTTCAACCCCTCATTATGACTTTGATTTCTATTTTCCTAATCACTACATGGTTAGAATTTTTGTGCTGTATAAGAAACATGCAGAAGAAAATAAGTCATATGGATCAATCAAATATTAGTATGTGGAAGGTTAGCTGAGAGTTACAGCTAAATCCAAAATATTTTTTATTTTTTATTTCAAGACAGGGTTTCTTGTGTTGTGCTGGCTTTCCTGGAACTGTCTCTGTAGACCAGGCTGGCCTCAGAGATATGCCTGCCTCTACCTCCCCAGTATTGGTATTAAAGGTGTGTGCCACCACCACCTGGCTCAAAATGTTTATTTTTTTTGGAAATTCACATAATGTGAAAGCACAAAATTTTTGATGAGGAAGTCCAACCATGCATTCTGAAAAGTTTTTTTATGTTCACAGAAGAGGGTGAGCAGTGAGTTGGAGCAATTGTTACAACCCTTGCATGTTGCTGTGGCACAGTGGATCCCAGCTGAGCCTGGAACATCTTAGTGGAGGCTTTATCACCAATGCTTCTTGCTTAAATCATGTGGCTACATGGTTAACACTTTTCTGATGTATAAGAAACATGCAGATGAGCCTAAGGTTTTGATTTTCCATTGCAGCAACAGAGAAATTATTTTTCTGCAAGGTTGTTCTCTGTTGAATCCTAATAAACTAATCACTATGTGCCTGCAGCTGAATACTACTGTGAAATTGAAGAAAAGACAGGAGCAACTTTATTGAGTTGAAAACCAACTCTTCCCCTATGGTTGGTCAAAGGCAGAGAGAATAAGAACACAAATCATGGTTCAAATGTCATTTTACAGGTTAGGAGCCCTTGTTATAGCTTTTTGGCACAGTCAATACAATACAGCTCCTCCTCATGAAATACAAAACGCTTGTTGGCCAGATTTTCAGAACAACTTTTGCAGTTGAAGCAGTAGTCATGCCAGGAATTTTCCTCAAAACTTACCATATTGGAGCCTTTACCAAACCCAGTGATAGCATTTTTGCACGCAGTACACTTCTTGGCCACAAAGTTCTTGTAGCAATCTACACAGTAATACTTGTTATCCACAGCAGTGAACCGCTGCCCGCCCAGCTGCTGGGAACAGGAGTCACAAATAAAGCACTCAGTATGCCAGGGTTGATCCTGGTAACTGATCCCTCCAGATGTGATGGGCTGGTTGCATTTCACACACTGCTTGGAAAACTTGGCCTCATGGCAAGACACACAGAAGAACCCCTCATCTCTAGGGAAGAAACTTTCGGTTCCAATGACTTCCTTGCAGTTGCTGCAGACGAAGCAGTTTTTATGCCAGACGTCACCCTTGTACTCCACATTCTGATCTCCTACCACAATATGCTCGTTGCACCCTTTGCATTTGGGGGTGGCCTCCTTAGTAGCACAACTGTCGCAAAGGGCCTTGCCATCCGAGGTCACAAAGGTCTCACTGACCAAGGGCTGTTGGCACTTGCTACAAAGGAAGCAGGCTTTGTGCCAGTAGCGGTTATCAAAACTCACCTCCTTGGAATCTGCACTTATGGGCTTGTGGCATTCGTCACAGATATTGGCACAGTACTTGTCAAAGCATGGCAGGCAGCAGTTGTAGTCATCCTTCTGGACATACTTCTTCCCTTGCAAGGAATCCTTGCAGTAGTGGCATTTGAACTCGCTAGACATGGTGCCTTATAGTTGGGGGGACCTCACATTGGATGTGCAAAGAACAGGTTATGTTTGGGATGGTCTGGATACAGTTGAGAACAGCTATTGGTTGCTGCCTGGAAACACTTGCCTATGCAGCTATGTAGGCTGTCCACTGGTTGGTGGATATGAAACTAGGATTTTACAGTAGCTTATCAGGCTGTACAAAAGGAAGAGGGCTTGGGCTGTGTTCTAGGACCACCCAGCTCCCTACTCATGTCTATCTTCTACCTCACAGGATGTCTTCAACTCCATAGAAATAGATGGTATGGATTACAGAGAAAGAATTGCCAGTGTACTTTAGCCAATGATCACCAAGGATTCCTGCAAGCTGGACAGGTTGAGGTTGTCACTCATCAGAGAAATGGAGAACACACCAAAGTCAATCAGATGGCATCTCAGTAATAGGATGTAAAGCAGGGCTTTCCGATTTGGGATTAAGTTAGATGTTTTGAAGGAGGGTTTAAGGAAATAGAACCTTCTTGCCTCACTTCCGGATGAAGCAGGTGTGATTATGTGATTTGTTATCTTCATAAATGGTACCTATGAAGAGGAAAGGCTAGAATGAGTAAAACTGTAACCAGTGAAGAAACATCCACTTACTATTTTGTCACTTTCATTTAGTGTATTCTACTTGGTGACCTGAACAATATTCATGATCTTGTTCAGGTTCAAATATTAGAAATTAGTCTTATTTTTGTTTTGACCATTACTGATTGTGAAGTAGCCTTGCCTCATGCTCTTTTGCTTAACTAGAAAATACCAAGGCCTAGTTGTATTGGGCCAGCTCCCAGCAACATTACAGCCTCATTGATAGCACTGAGCCATTTGCTAGATATCAGAGACTGCTTTTCTCTCTCAAAATATAGAGGTTAAATTTGAGTGTAGTGGCTTATACCTTAGGCCCAGAACTTAGAAAGATCAAAAGTTTGAGGCCAGTCTGGCTTCAAGGATATGATGGTTAAGAACTTGGGTTGTGGTCACAAAATTGGATTGTAGAATTTTATCTTCAACACTTGTGATAGAATTAAATTAGCATATCTACTTCCGTTTTTTAAATAATTTATTTTATATACAAAGGTGTTTTGCCTGCAAATATGTCTGTATACAGGAATCAGATATCCTGGGATAGGAATTATAGACAGCTCTGAGCTGTCATGTGGGTGCTATGAATTGAACCCTGGTTCTCTTGAAGAGCAGTCAATGCTCTTAAATGCTGAACCATCTCTCCCGCCCATGCTACAGTTTCTTTATAAGAGTATAGGATTGTTTGCCTCCTTATTGAGAGAACTGACACAACCTAACAGTTTGTGTCAAATCATAAATTAGAAGGGCTAGTGAGTCAAGGAAAATTTAAGTAATTGTGCCTGGAGACCAGTATGAATATAAGTATAGGAAAAGAATTATTATTTACATTGGATGGTAATCTATTCAAAGTTGCTATCATTCAGTTCATTCAAAATACCAAAAGAATGTATTACACAGAGAACATAAAAAATGTGTTGCTGCTGGGCTGTGGTGGTACACAGCTTTAATCCCAGTACTCAGGAGGTTGACTGAGGGGGCAGAGGCAGGCATATCTTTGAGTTCGAGGTCAGCCTGGTCTACAAAGCAAGTTCCAGGACAGTCAGGGCTACAGAGAGAAACAGTATCTCAAAAAAACCAAGCCAAGCCAAACCAAAAACCCAACCCAACAACAAAAAAACAAACAAAAAACACAAAACAACCAAACAAAATACACCCCTACGATGGGGCCTGGTTTCACTGGTGCTCCTTATGGTTGCATCATGGTATCTGAAATCAAGACAGCATCAAGATAGAAACAATCTTATCAAGATATCCATACCTACTCTCTTACAGCCAGGAGTGTGTGAGAACTGAATGGAATGCTATTCCTTTTTATAGGTAAGGAGACTGAGGCAGTGAGAAATGACTGAGGAAATACAGGACTACCTGTGTTTGTGGTTTCAGAAGGAATTAAAAGCTTCCTAGTATCTTCATTAGTTCATGAAATAGTGAACCATTGCTTTGAATTATGGCCTTAATAACTAGCAAAATCCTAAGTCAATTTTGGGAAGAAAGTTCCAAAATGAGTTTTATGAAGTCATCTATGAAAATCCTCAGGATTCTGTGACAGTAATAGATGTTCAGTAAACACCACAGTTCAGACTCTCCTGATCACTCAAATCCTATTAAAGTGATAGATTATATTCTCTTTAAGTTCTGTAGAACAAGATTATCATGGGAATTCCAGTAGTGGTCCAAATGGATTTGTTGATCATAACGACTAAGCTGAAGTGATACTCTAGTAAGAACTGGAGCAAAGACAGCTCCTGCTTGAGTTTTTTTTTCTTAGCATACACTTTTCTGAGCACTGTCAACACTTACTATCCAGTTACAACATGCTGACTATTTTCATTTGAAAATTGGGGTCCCCCACCCTGAATATGTTTCCACTTGCAAGACAAATCTTGCATTTTGGGAAGATTTCCGTTTATAAAGCCCCTTTATACTCATCATCTATCCTCTCAAAAAAGCTTAGGGTGCGTTTATTGTTATCTTTAAACATGTTGAGAGTCAAAGAAAATCAAATAGCATTTATCTAGTCAAGCAGTCTTTGAGAGACTTAACTCCTTTGCTCTCCCAAAGAGCCTCACAGGGGGCTACTCCAAGTCCCTTTGAAGCTCAGTGTCGCGCTTCCCAGCTGAGGCAGGGCTGGACGTGCAGGACTCTACAGAAGGGCTGTCAAAGGTCCAGGACCCCACCAGGAACTTCCTTCCCAAGGTCGGAACGAGCGTGGAGGGTCGGACCCGAGGAAGCCCTACTTAGAAGCGACACGAGGACAGTTTTTCTCACTTCAGTTCATTTCTCATATCGGAGAACCAACCTTTTTTTTCGTCACCAAAACTCAAGGCCCTGGCACCTCACGATGCGCTGTGTGATGAGGGCAAACCTGGCAAATTTTTTTACTCCGGCTGTAGGACAGGCAAGAATGAAGGAAACCACCAAAACCAAAAAACCCACACAGATAAGGAAGGCCTCGCTCTCCTTATCCCTGGCTCACACAGGCTGGCAGACTGCCCTGAGGAG